TTTTTGTAGGAGGCAGCCTGTCCGCATGGAGCAAACACAAGCCAGCATGAAATATTTAGGCAGCAGAGAAAACTATGAATTAGAAATTAGCCGGGCTTATGAAACGAGAGGAGGAAAGAGTATCTCCTTTGTCCGTCTACATTCTTGAGATGCTAGTTCCATGCTAGTTCTGCTATTGTATGTACATTAGCTTTTATGGAAAGACAAGGCATAGATGTATGAAATGACAAGGCATAGCCATCATAGTACCCAGTGTGGGGGTTTATGGTTACTTATATGAGAATGTTGCAGGATAATGAATAATTTCGGGCTTTTGATGTACACTAGAAAACTTTGGTGTTTATTTGTTGAGAAGTGTACATGATGACACCAGTATGATGGTCATAATGGCCCCAGCAGATCCTCCACATATGGAGGGTTGGTTGGCTGGCCAGGCCTACTGGAGCATGTGGTACCTCTGTATGTCAAGGCACTCGTAGATCCTCCACATATGGAGGATTGGTTGGATGGAAAGGCCTGCTAGGGCAGGTGGTATCTTTGTATGTCAAGGCACCCATAGATACTCCACATATGGAGGGTTGGTTGACAGGCAAGGCCTATTGGAACATGTGGTACCTCTTTATGTCAAGGCACCCATAGATCCTCCATATATGGAGGATTGGTTGGATGGAAAGGCCTACTAGGGCAGGTGGTATCGTTGTATGTCAAGGCACCCATAGATCCTCCACATATGGAGGGTTGGTTGGCTGGCCAGGCCTACTGGAGCATGTGGTACCTCTGTATGTCAAGGTACCCGTAGATCCTCCACATATGGAGGGTTGGCTGGCTGACAAGACCTGCTGTGGCATGTGGTCCCTCTGTATGTCAAGGCACCAGTAGATCCTCCATATATGGAGGGTCGGTTGACTGGCAAGGCCTGCTGGAGCATGTGGTACCTTTGTATGTCAATGCACAAGTAGGTCATCCACAAATGGAGGATTGGTTGGCTGGCAAGACCCGCTGGGGCATGTGGTACCTCTTTATGTCAAGGCACCCATAGATCCTCCACATATGGAGGGTTGGTTGGCTGGCAAGACCTGCTGGGGCATGTGGTACCTCCAGGGGCGGACTGACAACTCATGGAGCCCCCGGGCAATAGGGGATCATGGGGCCCCTGTGTCCTTGCCCAAACTCAAAAAAGCCTATGAAAAAGGTACCAGGGGCATCTCATGGGGCCCCCTACTTGCCCTGGGCCCTCGGGCAGTGCCCGAGTTTCCAAATGGTCAGTCCGCCCCTGGGTAACTCTGTATGTCAAAAGCACCAGTAGGTCCTCCACATATGGAGGGTTGGTTGGCTGGCAAGACCTGCTGGAGCATATGGTACCTTTGTATGTCAAGGCACCAGTAGATCCTCCACATATGGAGGGTTTTTTGGCTGGCAAGACCTGCTGGGACATATGGTACCTCTGTATGTCAAAGCACCAGTAGACCCTCCACAGATGGAGAGTTGATTGGCTAGCAATGCCCACCGGAGCATGTGGCACCTCTGTATGTCGAGGCATCAGTAGATCCTCCATGGATGGAGGGCTGGTTGGCTGCAGGACTAGGGGTGAGCAGGAGGGACAGCTGCCTGGGGGTAGTGAAGAAAGGGGGCAAAGAATAAACTTAGGGTGGTACACTCATTCTACAGTACGTATTAACAGTGGAGGAGGGTTGGTGCAATTCTGGATCCTTGCCCTAGGTACTGGATGACTCACGGTACTGGTTGGCTGGCAAGGCCTGCTTGGACATGTCATATCTCTGTATGTCAAGGTACCAGCAGATCCTCAGATGGAGGGTTGGTTGGCTGGCAAGGCCCACTGGGGCGAATATTAGCTCTGTATGTCAAGGCTCTAGGATTTTCTGTGTCTGACAGCTGGACAATAGTTGTAGAGTACCCTCAAGCACCCAATTCACTCAAAACATATCTTGTGGTTATGGATAGAAGATGTTGGGTCTAATGTTGGGATTTCTAACATTTGGAGGCTCCAAGGTTTAATTGCCCAATTTAGTTATTTGCTTGTTAACACTGAATCTCACTCCTTGGAGACAAGCCCCTGTTTTAATGCCTACACTAGGAGCTAGGAAATCAGAGGTCTCAAAAACAGAGTCCTTGAAAGATTATGGGTAATTCTACATGCCCGCCATAACAGAGATTCAAGTTGGAGTGAAAAAATCTGTTAATGGAGGTTATCCAGTCTTACTGGTGAATGTTATTACCAGAACGTATACTTGAAATATTTTTTATACTGTGACTTTCACATCAAGGCTCTGTTCACACCATGCAAATGCAGAGGAGGGCGCGATCGTCCCAACGCATTGCATTAAGGCCAGTCTATTCATTTCACTTGGTTGCCCTCAGGGGCGGACTGACTATTTGGAAACTCGGGCACTGCCCAAGGGCCCAGGGTCAGTAGGGGGCCCCATGAGATGCCCCTGGTACCTTTTTCATAGGCTTTTTTGAGTTTGGGCAAGGACACAGGGGCCCCATGATCCCCTATTGCTCGGGGGCCCCATGAGTTGTCAGTCCGCTCCTGGTTGCCCTACATGCAGGAAATGCCGAAAACAACTCCTTGAACCTTTTTGTTCAAATTAAGCACAAAAATACATGCATTAGCAGATGTGCGGGGGGTGCCATTAAGAATTAACAGCATTGTCATGCATCTGCTAAATGAGAGCACCCTTCTGTGCATGTCGCGAATGCTCGTAATTTTACGTACGTTCCGACACACACAAACGTGACCCTAGGCTAATACTTGTTTGCTGTTCTAGAGTTTCATTAAGCTATTTTAAATAGTTATATGTAGATTCTTGTCTATTTTTTTATATATCAGCACCAAAAAACAGTGTATTTGCTGATAGACTGCTGAGATTAAGTTAGTTACAGGAAAAGCCATTAATAGACTGTATTGCTTTAGGAGCTCATTCACACTGTTCCAATTGTCGTAAACGCACAGCTATGTGTGAACTGCAGTGTGGTACGTTGCCATTCATTTTGAATAGCGTCCCGATGCATTAATACAATGCATCGTGGCACATGCGTGTCGTAATACGCCAGGAGTGCACAGATGTTCTGTGTCCTCCACCCCTCTCTGCCAATCCCTCCACTCAGTGTCTTCCACCCCTCTCTGCCAATCCCTCCACTGGCCTCCACTCAGTGTCCTCCATCCCTCTCTGCCAATCCCTCCACTGGCCTCCACTCAGTGTCCTCCACCCCTCTCTGCCAATCCCTCCACTGGCCTCCACTCAGTGTCCTCCACCCCTCTCTGCCAATCCCTCCACTGGCCTCCACTCAGTGTCCTCCACCCCTCTCTGCCAATCCCTCCACTGGCCTCCACTCAGTGTCCACCACCCCTCTCTGCCAATCCCTCCACTGGGCTCCACTCAGTGTCCTCCACCCCTCTCTGCCAATCCCTCCACTGGCCTCCACTCAGTGTCCTCCACCCCTCTCTGCCAATCCCTCCACTGGCCTCCACTCAGTGTCCTCCACCCCGTCTGCCAATCTCTCCACTGGCCTCCACTCAGTGTCCTCCACCCCTCTCTGCCAATCCCTCTACTGGCTTCCACTTAATGTCCTCCATCTCTCTCTGCCAATCCCTCCACTGGCCTCCATCCCTCTCTGTCAATCCCTCCACTGGCTTCCCGTTGTCCAATGGATAAAATTCAAAACATTAACAATAACATGTAAAGCCATTTATAACTCCGCCCCAAATTATATCACCGATTTAGTCTCTAAATATCACCCAAACCGTCCTCTCCACTCCTCGCAAGACCTCCTACTCTCTAGCTCCCTTGTCTCCTCCTCCCATGCTCATCTCCAGGACTTCTCCAGAGCTTCTCCCAAACTCTGGAACTCTCTACCCCCCAATTTATCAGACTATCGCCTACTCTGCTCACTTTTAGGTGATCTCTGAAAACCCATCTCTTCAGGGAAGCCGATCCTGCCCTCAGCTAATACTGGAACCTTCTACTCTTCCAACCAGTCCGTCCCCCACAGTTATTACCTTTTGTACCACTAGCCCCTCCCTCCTAGATTGTAAGCTCCCAGGATCAGGGCCCTCCTATCCCTCTTGTATTGAACTGTATTGTTGCTGTATTGTCTCCCATTTTATTGTAAAGCGCTGAGCAAACTATTGGCGCTATATAAATCCTAAATAATAATAATAAGATGTGAATGGGCTGTGTTTTTACGTTCAGAAAAGTGAGATGTTCAGCATCTTCGTTTCAAAATGAATGTGCTTCTTAATGCAATGCAGGTAAAACGTGCATTTGGCACAACGCGCCAGTGTGAAAAGGCCATTAATGAGTAATTATGGGTCTGGGATGACTCATAGACTTGCACTGAGATGAGAATAGAAAAATCACTGTGCTGCGCTACATAGCAGGAAGCGCAACATGCATAGGTAATGAGGAAACCTTCCTGCCTGAGATACTTCGATTATTAAAAAAGTATACCAGGTGCAGGGGCAGACTGACCATTCGAGCACTCGGGCACTGCACGAGGGCCCGGGGTCAGTATTGGGCCCCATGAAATGCCCCTGGTACCTTTTCTCAAGCACTGAGATGAGCAGAATAGAAAAATCACTGTGCTGCGCTACATAGCAGGAAGCACATAATGCATAGGTAATGAGGAAACCTTCCTGCCTGAGATACTTTGATTATTAAAAAGTATAGCAGGTGCAGGGGCGGACTGACCATTCGAGCACTCTGGCACTGCCCGAGGGCCCGGGGTCAGTAGGGGGCCCCATGAAATGTCCCTGGTACCTTTTCTCAAGCACTGAGATGAGCAGAATAGAAAAATCACTGTGCTGCGCTACATAGCAGGAAGCACATAATGCATAGGTAATGAGGAAACCTTCCTGCCTGAGATACTTCGATTATTAAAAAGTATACCAAGTGCAGGGGTGGACTGACCATTCGAGCACTCTGGCACTGCCCGAGGGCCCGGGGTCAGTGGAGGGCCCCATGAAATGCCCCTGGTACCTTTTATAGGCTTTTTTGGGGTGTGCTTTGAGTGTGGGCAAGGACACAGGGGCCCCATGATCCCCTATTGCCCGGGGGACCAATGAGTTGTCAGTCCGCCCCTGACCAGGTGACAAGGATTTAAAAGAACATCATTGTTTATAATAATCGGATCGAATAGATGTCTGAAGATGTTAAAAAGGCTACAAATTCCCTTAGGGTAAGTTCACACCTATCCCTGCCAGGAACGTGTGCAAAAATCACACTCTTTCCCGACAAGCACCGAAACTCGCTGCTATTTAGCAGACATGCGGAGGTGCCATTATTTGTTAATGCCCCCCCATGGCACCACACCTCATGGTTTAGTGTGGAGTGTTTTCAGGGAAGAGTCAGGGACTACTTTTCTGCATTTCTTGCGTGTAGAGCAGCCCGCTGAACTGAATGGGCTGCCCTACACGCAACGTGTGGAAATGCGCCCGCGCTTGGTCACACTTCTAGGTACAAACCAAACCTTAAACTCAAGCAAGGCAACTTATTTTACGCGGAAAAAAAAATCACATTCGTACGAATGGGACCCACCTGTTCAGGTCCTTGGAAGCAAATCCTGCAGAGAGGTGTCCTCATGCCACTGTCCAGGCTTCCTAAAGAGTACCTGTCCTCATTTTTTCCTTTGCAACACTCGTCTGAGGAAGTGCTACTGATCAACGACGTAGGCTGGTGCTGAAGTCCCGGGGCCGTTGCAGGATAGCACCAATCCTCGTCAGGCGTTGCCCCACCTCCTGGAACCCTCCAAGCTCGCCCCAAGGCCGTCAGTGTGTTGTTGTTGGCTGCCAAACCGCCTCCAGCGCCCAGATCTGTGCTGTTCATGGGCAAACTGGGCGTCTGCGGTGGGCGCCGGAGCAGGAGGACCTTCAAGTCATTGAAAAGCATGCGGCATCGGCACTTGAGGAGACCCTGATGGCGCAACATCTGTCTTGGACTCAGTAATCCACAGCACCATAAAAGCAGGACGATTCTCAAGAACATGTGAGGGCCTTTCACTCCAAAAAAGATAAGGGCGAAAAAGTGCCACGGGGGCCCCGGTCAGCACCTAAGACTGTGCGGTAGAGTATCCCTCAACTCAAGTATTGCTCTCCTTAGGCCTTGACCCCCAACCTGGCCTAATGGTTCAACTACCGATCGATGAAAAAGACGGGGTTAATCTGTTCCACAGAGAGGGATTAAGTGTATAAAACAGAACATTAGCTGCAAAAAAAAGGCTGTCTGCCTCGTTCCTCCCCTCAAACTCTTATTCAAACCCAATAAAAAGTAGACCTGGAGATTAAAAACGTCTTATCAAAAGGAAATTACCGGCCGTCACCCTCAAACAGCCTAAATAATTAGTAGTAATAATCATAAAAATGTTTTTTGGAACGGTCCCACCGGTCCTTCCTCAAAAAAAAAGTGGGCAATCTTTGCATGTCGTGGATAAATACCTTAATATATACAAAACCGAGGTGGTGGTGGTGGGGGGGGGGGGGGGTCGGGGGTGTGCCATTGACAAAAAAATTGTGGGAAATTAGGATGGGATTTGGTCTCACGTCTCCTCCATTCAGCAATATCAACCAGGAGCCAAAATTCCCCCAAAAAAATGTTTAAAAAGAAAAAAAGATGGTTCTTCTTCTTCTTTTCGGCAGCAGTCAAGCTCGCGGCATACCTTGTGCCTTCTTCACCCCACCTCGATGCCAAGGAGCCCGTTCCCCAACGAACGCTCATGAGCCTTTCCTGTGCTGCTGCCTGTGCTCCTTTGCCTTGGCATGGCATGCAACCATCGCCTTGCCGGTCTCTGAACGCGGGCGGCCCCCTTGGGTCGAGCCAGCCAGACGCTCCAGCGTCCCCCTCGTCCCAGTCAAGCTCCTATCAGCACGCTGGTCCAGCTGGCGATGATGAGGACGGTGTGGATCCTGCTGTTGGTTGAGCTCGCTGCTGCTGCTGTTGCTACCTCCCTGGGATGCAAGGAGGAAGAATTTCTTCTTGCAATGTAGACGGGTCTCTCTTCTTTTTTTTTTCAGAGAAGATTGGAAGGGACCATCTCTTGGATCCCTTTGGCAATGGCCTTCTGGTTGGGTGCAGGAGGGCCAGAGATTGCAGCAAGGGCTTGGTGGAGAAGGAGGGTATGGACTGGGCAAGGTGCTGGCAGTTTAGGCTGCTGCTGCAGTTTCAGCACTCTGTGCTGTGGACAGCTCCCTCCCTCCCAGTCTGAAACGTCACGCTGCTGGGGGGACTGACGCAGGCGGTTGGGGAGGGAGGAGGAGGTGGTGGTGGTAGGTGAAGGGGGGGGGGATGCTGGATTACTTTCCAGACAAGGGAAAGTCTTATTGACATGAAGATCCTCTTACTATCAGCCTTTCAAGCAGCTCAATGAATTATCAAGGCACAATATGGATCATGAACAGGGAGGCAAGCTGAGCTTTTGTCTCTTTTTGCACAAAAAAAAAACAAAAAAGAAAAAAAAAACAAAAAACCAACCAAAAACGATAAAAAAAAATAGGCTTATTCAGGCAAGCACGGGTGATGGGCAAGGAGCACGGCCAAAAAAAAAAAAAAAATTTAAAACCAAAGCGGTTGCTATGGGTTATGGCATTGTCTCTTTTTGCACAAAAAAAAAAAAAAAAGCCAAAAAAAGAAAAATGAAAAAAGAGGCTTCTTCGGGCAGGCAGGGGTGATAGGCAAGGAGCACGGCCAAAAAAAAAAAAAAAAAAAAAATAAACCAAAGCGGTTGCTACGGGTTATGGCACTGTTGCAGGTCCTTGCGCCCCCCGCCTTGGTAAATTAGCCGAATGGTTGAGTTGAGTAGGGGGGGAGGCAAGCTGAGCTTTTGTCTCTTTTTGCACAAAAAAAAACCCCCCAAAAAAACAAAAACACATAAAAAAAAAAAAAAAAAAAAAAAACAACCAAAAACGAAAAAAGAGGCTTATTCAGGCAAGCATGGGTGATGGGCAAGGAGCATGGCCAAAAAATAAATAAATTAATTAAAACCAAAGCGATTGCTACGGGTTATGGCACTGTCGCAGGTCCTTGTGCCCCCGCCTTGGTAAATGAGCCGAATGGTTGAGTTGAGTAGGGGGGGAGGCAAGCAGAGCTTTTGTCTCTTTTTGCAAAAAAAAAAACAAAAAAAAAACAAGAAAACAAAAAAAAAAAAAAAAAACATAAAAAAAAAAAAAAAAAACCATGAAAAAAAAAAAAAAAAAAAACAACCAAAAACGAAAAAAGAGGCTTATTCAGGCAAGCATGGGTGATGGGCAATGAGCATGGGCAAAAAGAAAAAAATTATTAATTAAAACCAAAGCGGTTGCTACGGGTTATGGCGCTGTCACAGGTCCTTGTGCCCCCGCCTTAGTACATGAGCCAAATGGTTGAGTTGAGTAGGGGGGAATCAAGCTGAGCTTTTGTCTCTTTTTGCACAAAAAAAAAAAAAAAAAACACAAAAATGAAAATGAAAAAAGAGGCTTCTTCGGGCAAGCATGGGTGATGGGCAAGGAGCATGGCCAAAAAAAAAAAATGAAAGCCAAAGCGGTCGCTACGAGTTATGGCACTGTCGCAGGTCCTTGTGCCCCCGCCTTGGTAAATGAGCCGGATGGTTGAGCTGGGGGGGGGGAGGAATGTTTTTCACGGCTGGACAGATGGCTGTCTAGAAATGACATTGCCATGAATGAGAAAGATGGAAATGGCGCTGTTCGCTGAGGCGGTGAAGAGGGACGGCTCGGTAACTGCCGTTCTCCCGGAAATAAAGACATTAAAAACGGGAGCTGAATTTGCTGATAGTTACACAGTAGCCAGTTCACAGAAAAAAAAGATATAAATCCATTAGATTGTAAGCTCTTATGGGCAGGGACCTCCGAACCCTCTTGTCTTTGATTGCATTGTACCTGTACTGCCCCCCCTTTTAGGCCTCATGAACGCAGGACGTATATATAAAAACGCCAGAAGCGTTAGCTGTAGAACGCCGCGTTAAAAACGTGAGTTTTGTTGCATTTTTCAGTGTTTTAATTTTTTTGCTTTTTTTGTTTAGCAAAGCTATACTCCCACAAAAGCTGGAGGCTCAAAAACGCTCATAAATGCCGGATAGATGCGGTTTTTTGGGGGTGTTTTTCAGGTGTTTTTCTTTTTTTTTTTCTTTTTTTTATTTGTTTATTAAATTTTTCTGGTACAGAGAAGAACATCTAATACATAAAAAATAAGACAGAAATCAAATCACGAGTACATCAGCAATATGTAAGTTACCTTTGCAGCACATTTTCCCCTTCCCCACCCTCCTTCCCAACCTCCCACCCTCCTCATTCCCCTGTCCACATCCTCTTACTTCAGGCATTTTTACAGCCAGAAAACTCCTCTTTGAACGGAGTACAGGCGTACCTCGGTTTACGAATTTAATGCGTTCTGCGGGACTTTGCGTATTGCGAAAAATTCGTAAACCGAACCGCGGTTTCCCATAGGAATGCATTGAAAAGCAATTAATCTGTTCCGGAGGTCAGAAAAAAGTCTTATCTGTTCAAAACTCTTTATAAAGTGAAATTTAAAGGCATAAATACTGTACAGGGACATGATTAAAAATTATTTTGTAAATGCATTGAAAACCAATTAATCTGTTCGTATTGCAAAAAAAAATTAGTAAATGCATTGAAAACCAATTAATCCATTCTGGAGGTCAGAAAAAAGTCTTATCTGTTCAAAACTCTTTATAAAGTGAAATTTAAAGGCATAAATACTGTACAGGGACATGATTAAAAATTATTTTGTAAATGCATTGAAAACCAATTAATCTGTTCGTATTGCAAAAAAAATTAGTAAATGCATTGAAAACCAATTAATCCATTCTGGAGGTCAGAAAAAAGTCTTATCTGTTCAAAACTCTTTATAAAGTGCACTTTAAAGGCATAAATACTGTACAGGGACATGATTAAAAATGAATTCGGAAATGCATTGATAACCAATTAATTCCATTCATATTGCGAAAAAAATTTGTAAATGCATTGAAAAGCAATTAATCCGTTCCAGAGGTCAGAAAAAAGTCTTATCTGTTCAAAACTCTTTATAAAGTGCAATGTAAAGGCATAAATACTGTACAGGGACATGATTAAAAATTAATTCGTAAATGCATTGAAAACCAATTAATCTGTTCCGGAGGTCAGAAAAAAGTAAAAAA